CTCTTTGAGGGGAGGTAGGTAGTCGAGTGAGCTCATAAGCGTGTAAAGGTTAAGGACGAGATCCCCTCGACACTGTACTGTGTGCTTGTGCTTACCACTGATTAATGCAATACAAGTTGCCTTTTGTCTAATTTGTGTGCCTTCTTGTTGCCTTTTGTGTGTTGTTGTTTGCATTTGTAGGCTTTCTCGGCCCCATCGAGTGCTGCACGGGGCCTCGTCGATTAGCCCCGTGACAGTTGGTATCAGAGCCATCCCATCGGGCAACTCCTAGCCTCTATGCGTATAATGGCTTGTCCTGGCCTGCCTTGGCCAGGACGCCGCACGGGTTTCTTCCGCTGTAGAACTACCCTCGTGACATAAGGGCATACAACTGTCTAACACAGATTCACCAATTGATCTGCCGCCGCCACTCTCTTAGTATTTATAGGTTATGTTTAGTAGATAGAGGAAAGGACAGATCTGCCCTTAATACTTACATGACAAATAAAGCAAATAACAAACTGAAATAAATAACAACTGAAATAACAAGTTGATCACCAACTAACACTAACATGACTGAAACAAATAATTGCACATACTGTCCTACGAGCACAGTGGGGACCACAACTGTGGGGCCCACATCAGTGTTCTCTACATTACTGAATGCTGGTCCTGGTTATCTGGGGAGGGTTGGACTGGATAAGAACCTAAACTTTTTCATATTCATGCAAAAAGTGGCTTCTTAGGCTCAAATCCATGTTCTCATGCATGTCAGCCCTAGATTTTAAAAGACACATGCTGTCTATGAACTAGAGAAGCAAACAACTAATAAAACAATGATTTTGGTGCTTATGACCCATATCATAATTCCCATAAATGTGTAAACTAACCTTTTATGATCTCCATGATAATGTTTTTTGATTTTTGGAAAATTAGATGTTAATAAAGTATTATATTTTCCAGATCTCCCTGTATTCCCCTTATTTGTCTAACCTTAGATAAAGAATGTATCCAGATAACTTTTTCACTGTTTGTGGGTGAAAGGAAAAATTTTCATATGCTATGATATCCAGATACAGAAAGGGCAAGTTGGATGGAGAGTTTAAACTTAAAATTCAACTGTACACTGGAATACAGTACCCATCTAGATAGATATTCATATATAGTGACACAGACATGGAAACCATTGATTATGTTGCTTCACATATAAGACTTTGTGAATTGTATATTATTATCTTAAAATTTTGATGATTCATATTTGATTTTGAATTTGCATTTGCAGTTCTTCATTTGATGGTCATGATGATGAGAGCGCTATTGAAATACTTGATGGGTCTGCCTCAGATGGCTATGCTGCAGTGACAAGAGTAGGTGGTGAATGTAACACGAAAGACATCAAATTTGTTTCTCGTCAAATTCCAACGTGGCTATCTTATTCCACTCCAAATGAGTTTCTTGTATGTCCTTCCAACTATATATGAAATATATGTAAACAACACTATTTTGTGCCAACTTTGATGTGATTGGCCTTGTATGAACTGAAAATTGGGAGTCTAAATTGTTTGTAGGAAGCAATGAAAAAAAGTGATGCTCCTCTCCATGTGAAGTATTTACAGACCATGGTTGAATGCCTCTGTATGCTGGGCAAAGTCGCAGCTGCTGGTGCAATAATATGGTGTGTTACTTGAGTACATGATATTCTATTCTGAGCATTTTTTTTGAAGCTACATTTTGCTATCCAGCATCTATCTGCCATCCCCTCAATATTTCAGTCAGTCGCTCCTTTAAATTTATTACACACTATGGCTCAATGTGCATTAATTTAAATCTAAAAGGAAGATAACATCTGTAATTCTTTGGTTGAGGGGGTCCACTGGTTTTATATTTTTCTTGTATGGCCTGTGGTTGGGTTGCCTATTGGACCCTTTTTTTTTGGACGTGGACTATTAAACCCTTTGTTTCTTGTCTCCTTTTATTGTCTTCAATGTACTTTTATATATCTAGATTGCTTTGCATATTGATCTTTCATACAAAGTAATGATTATTGATTAAAATGGTATACTTGTGGAGGTCTACAAATTGTCAGCATGGGGATATTAGATGTGTGCTAATTGGTTGATTTTAGTCGAAGAACTAGAGAGACCGCTGTGAAAGATTATTAAGAATCTAATTGTTGACTGTCATCTTGTAATTAATATTAATACATTATATTATTTATGTACAATTGCAGAGCTACCCCTATAGGTTGACAAAAAAAATAATGAAAGGAAGTTATTTACAATGAAGTACATGCTACTATATAGCATGACTTATGCCAACATTGTTGTTGTGGTTGTTATTATTATTACTTAGAAAGTTGAAACAAGTATTTTATTTGTCTCTGTCAGATCTATGTCTACCTTTATAGTTTATATTTGATGATAAGTCCTTTGTTGAATCTTATTCATTTTGTTGTGAACCAGCCAAAGATTACGCCCCACCATTCATGAGATCATCACATCGAAAATAAAAGGACATGCAGCAGCTGTAAATTCATCAAGGCCTGGCACTGGCCAAGGTGCTAAAACTGTTAATTCTGGTTTACATTACTTGAAGGGACAGCTGGAAAGCTATCAGTTGCAGAAACAGAAGCGCCAAAATGGGATATTGCTGGCTGGAACACTATTGGCAGTTAGTCCTGTCTCACCGCTCATGGCTCCCACAGGAGCAGCACAAGTTGCAGCCAAAGAACTTCTTGACTCAATATTGGATACTATCATTCGGATCCTTGGTGAGATGTTATGACATTCTCTAGTTCGCATATAATTCTTTTTGAGAATTAGTTCTTACAGTCCTAATCTGTTCAGAGAACCATGTTATTGTTGGTGAGCTTCTGGAGTCAAAATCAACACAACAGAGTGAAATGATCACACCAAAGTCAATGAATGGAGACATGAACTGGAACCCTGATTCTGAAGCATCCCAAGTTACTGGGGGCTACAGCATTGGGTTTTCCTTGACAGTGTTGCAGGTATTCTGTCCACCTATTATTTTTCTCTTTTTCTTTCTTCTTTGGAATTATATTTTCACTTATAATGGTTGTTCTTTTGAACCCCTTATATTTGGTCTTGTCATTGTGTTTTATAGAGTGAATGCCAGCAACTCATATGTGAGATTCTACGAGCAACTCCAGAAGCTGCATCTGCAGATGCTGCTGTGCAAACAGCTAGGCTTGCAAACAAAGTTACTTCTAAAGATAAGAGGCAAGTTCAAACAATCAGTTTAGTAGATTTTTCAGTTTCAAATATCATTTCATTGTACATTTCAAATGGTTGTTTTTGCCATTTATTCTCTATTAGTTCTCATAGCCAATTAAATATCTGCTAAATCTTTTGTAGAGTCACTGTTTTTCTAATTTTTGTTATATGTATATATAAATTCTAATTTGTCTTATAAGATATTTGGGTGTCTAAGAAAAAATAAGCAGAATATGAAAAACTTATATTGAACTTGTTGGGTTACAGGGATGGTTCAGACGATGGCCTTACTTTTGCTTTTCGCTTTACTGATGCAACGGTTTCTATTCCCAACCAAGGTACTATTACTATTACTATTACTACTACCATTGCAAGCTTTTTTCCCTTTCAACTTTAGGGTCCGTTTGCTTCGCAGTTGGAATCGGAATTGAAATCCTTCGAAATCGGAATCAGAATGGTCTATTCCCATAGTCTGTTTGGTTCAGACAGGAATGGGAATGGGAATTGGAATCAGCAGGAATGAGATTTCATTCCCAAGGGAGGGGCAGGGAATGGCCATTCCCTCAAATGGGGGAATTCCATTCCAGCAGGAATGGGAATGGGATTCCGATTCCACCCAACCAAACAGTTGGAATCAGAATAACCCATTCCGGTTCAGATTCCAGACCCCTATTCCTGTGAACCAAGTGGGGCCTTGGTATTATTGGGTTCTAATAATGGGGGCTATTTTTGTTTTAAATTGTTTGATAACTCTCATTGTTAGAGACCAGATGACTTAAATGGTTCAGCCATGATGGGAAGAGTCCAAATACATGGGAGGATCCCAAAAATACCCCTACATACATACATATAAGACTTCTAATACTCCTCCTGACGTTGGTGTAGACATATCTATCATGCCCAATTTGCTCACAATTTCTTAGAGATGAACTTTGGTAACACCTTTTGTTAGGATATCAACCAATTGTAGTTGAGAGGTGGTATAAGAAATGCAAATCTGACCATCTAGGAGCATTTCACGGATAAAGTGATGATCAACCTCAATGTGTGTGTGTTTTTTTTTTTTGTTTTTTACATCTAAACTCTACTTGATCCTCCTCCCACCATTCCTTTACTTTTGGCTAAAAGTCAGGGTGCAGTAACCACATATTCTCAAGTTTGAATGGGCACGGGCCACAATCTATTCTCTCTTGGTCCAAACTAATTAGGCAATGGTCTGAATAAGAATTGATAATCCCCTCCATTCCCTTTCCCTATTATTTAAGAATAGGAATCTGTCCAGATTGCAACAAATGGAAACTTCTTGAAAATTTGACCAAGTAAATGGTGAACTTTGTAGTGGAGAAGGAAACACAAATCCCAGGGAAAGAGGTAGTAGTATCTGTTGAACTCCCGACACTTACTGGCTGGAAGAAAAAGATGGAAGACTTTGTTCCAGTTAGGTGATGGAGAGTTCTGAAGATTGAGGCAAAAACATATGTTATGAAAGAGGTGTGGACAAGAAGGGGAGATGCTTTGAAGATTGCAAAATTGAGAAGAGGGTCGCTAATCCTTGAAGGAAGAGTAGTGCCTTGGTTCGAAGGTTTCTTGGAAAGAGCTAAGACGATAGTACGTACAAGAGAATGAAAGTACTACATTATGGAAGAGGGATGAAGTTACGTTGCTAAAAGAAAAGAAAACAGGAAGAGGAGATATGTTTGATTCTATGAAAGCTATGGAGAGGGTGGTATGAAGTAGTTCACATGCTTCCCTAAACGTAAAGAAGCTGCAGGGTGAGATATGATAGTACAGGCACTACAAGAGTCCCTAGAGATGTGTATGAAAAGAAGAAGCCTCTACTAAGACAAGAAGAAAATGGTCTGATGATTGGGTGGAGGATATGGAATGAAAGTTGACAATTTACCAGTACAATTGGGGATACTCAGTTTGATGCAAGAGTGAGCTCATTGAGGTTATGTGTGAAAAATCCAAAGAAGATTGGGAGAATAAACTAGTAATCTTGTTGAACAAGTTATAGAAAAGAAGAGACTGGGATAAGAGATTCAACAAGTTTTGAAGAGTCTAGAAGAGTCGCAAATAATCACATTCGATGGACAGAAGGCTCTATTTTACAGTCTCTTCGTTGGGTCGGAGTTTGCAGCTATCTCTACAGAAACAAAGCAAAGGCTGGCATTAGTTGGAAGATGGTCCCCAAGCTGCAACGTGAAGTGTAGATGTAACAACCTGTATTGAAATAAAAATTATGGGGTTGTCTTTCCATTTATGGTCGGATGAGACACTTATTAGAATTTCTAAATTATGTGGTGGAGAGTTGTTGTCAGTGAATGATTCAGAGCTGCGAGTGGCATCAATTAGGGTAAATGGTGCAAAGCTGGATTTAATTCCTAGAGTTGTAGAGATTTTTTCAGATGGCTTATTGTTCAAGGCTTGGATTTCTTCTGTGGAAGCAAGATGGTGGAACATTGAGCGAACTGGGAAGATGATGGTGACATGGCTAAGAGAAGGATTCGAGTCAACCTCAGGGAAGGGGGGTGACAGAGGGAGAAGCATGTGAACTACTTCATACCCCCTCCATAGCTTTCATAGATTCCAACATTTTCTCCCCTTCCTGTTGTCGTTTCTTTCAGCAACGTAACTTCATCCCTCTTTCCATCATGCTGTACTTCCATTCTCTTGTTTGTACTATCTCTTAGCGACCCTCTTCTCAATTCTATAATCTTCAAGGCATCTCCCCTTCTTGTCGACACCTCTTCCATAACATATATTTTGGCCTCGATGTTTAGAACTCTCCTTCTCCTAGCTGGAACAAAGTCCTCCATCTTTTTTTTTTTCTAGCCAGTAGGTGTCGGGAGTTCAACATATACTACTTCCTCTTTCCCTGGGGTTTGTGTTTCCTTCTCCACTACAGAGTTCGCCATTTCCATTCTTACATAGACCATCGGATTCTAAATACTCTACTTCTGGCGCACAACATCCATGTTCTATATAATTCAAATGGGATGTAAGAATTTACTTGGTCAAATTTTCAAGAAGTTTCCATTTGTTGCAATCATCATCCATTCTTACATTCCCAATGTAAGTGCGGTGGTGAGGCTACGTACGAGGGTCTCCTTGAAAGACAAAGGAAGACTGGATGTAGGAGGCAGGCTAAAGGATAGGGCAAATGTGAGTGATAAGATGATGATTACATTATGAGATGGGCCCCTATTTATAAGGAGGGATCCCGAGGTCCCGAAAGGAATGAGCCAAAAGCGTTTGATTCCCACTAGGAAAGGGAATATTTTTTTTTGATCAATAACACTTTCATTAATTCATCAGTAGAAAATTTACAAGTGGAAGACAAACACACTTATCTTCCAAGAGTCACAAATAACTTCAAGAAATGAAAAAAGAAAATACAAAGATACAAAGACATTAACGCTACAGCTTAGCCCAAAACAAAGAATCCC